GGCTATAATGCGAGTTCAAATCCTGGGTTATGTCTTAAAAAAATAGGAGAAATGAAAAATGTATAACATCCCTATGGATTGGATTGGATTGGATTTTATTTATAGTGGTGACTATAACAGACAATTGCCTAATAACAATAGACCCACTCGAGGGAAAGATGCAAAAGATCTGAATTATTAATATAATAGACTATTGGATAGGTGATCATGTTCGCGATAGAACGAATGGTTGAATCAACGGACCATGCACGCCCAACTTTGCTTTTTTGCCTAGGTCATCAAGATGGTAGACAGTGATGTATTACCCTCGAATGCAAAGAGAAAGTTAATTTCTTTCGATCAGGGTCCTACGCTATGCTTTATTGCCTAGCACCTCATGAAATTAAGATAATAAATTAATATTTATAAACTCAGATACTGACAGAAAGTGCAACAACTAGGCACAAAACTGACAGAGTACTGAGACATTCAACGTCCTGACACCTAGCTTCTACACATCTCCATGGTGGAGAGTTACTCGTTTCCATATGTCCTTTTCCTTTCTACTTTTATTATTCGCTCAATACCCGAGTTTCAGATACTGAGCCAGTAATTAAATGTAAAAAAGAAAAGAAACACTTGAGAACGAGTTATGCAGCAACTATCCGCGACATTTTCGCTCGCTGCGCTCACCTTCCCCTCTTCGGTCCTACGTAACCATGAACCTTCCAAGTTGGACGGCTGTTGGTTTGCGCACTGGGGATGTGTTAGAGCTAGGCGTCGGGTCGCTGAATGTCTCAGTAGCCTGTCAGTTTTGTGCCCTATTATCGCGCTTTCTGACAATTTATCATCTTGTTACAGTCGTGGATAGTTGCTGCACAACTCGTTCTCATGTGTTTCTTCTTTGTTTTTACATTTAATAATAATAAATAATTCATTGTCTTTTGAACAGATTGAAACTTTTTGCAATACAATGATGTAGCCGATCAGTTCGTTGTGGTATGGCTGGGAATCGTAGCCATTATTTTTTCTGGTTTTGGAGTTCGTATCGGAGCAGCCATTCTGCAGTTCAAATCGAGCCGCCATGGTCGACGTAAAACACTATTTACATCCACAAGCTCGGGGAGCAAAAGTCTCTCTGTCCCATAAGCTGCTACATACCAACTAGATATGGGGTCATGCACATCACACGAGCTGACTTGCACGCATGGCCCTTTTCACGAACCCAGACAAAGAGATTGGTCTATTATAACTCATGTACGAAGTCACTAGATTACACCCGCACCAGAGATGAAGGCGATGGCGCCAGACATCAATACGGTGTTGTACGGTATAAGGATGTCGTATAGCATATCGTACAACAGTATGATGAAATTGTGGGAGATACCAGCGACCGCTTGAGAACGATGAACATTACAACAGTCTTACTGTGAGTGAGAGTCAGGCCAAATTTCTGAAGATCAGTAGCGAGTCCTATCCCGAGCATTATGTTAGCATTACAAAAGCGTAGACAGGTTGTGTTATAGGAGACCCAAGTTGCTGAAGACCAGTAGTCATTGCTGATAACGTGCAGAAAAACTAAATCCGTAGCCTCTTTTGCCATCGGACAGGATGCGTATTATAGGAGGCTGTAAAGTTATCTAATGTGCTTCACAGGCAACCATGCATTCGGCCGTCAGCAACAGTTAAGCACAAGCACACTATCAAGGCAAGGACATTTTTGTATTATTGTATTGTACCGCATTGTATGGAATATAATTTTACCTCATTGGCTCAACAGGTCAATGTACTTGTATTACTACAAAAAGGCCAGAAAATCCGACTATAAGGAGATAAAAGGAAAAGAAGGTGCAAACCAAAAGTGGATGAAGTGAGAGAAAATAACTTTTCGCGATAAAACCTTCAATTAATTTTGCGTTCCTCATATTCAAACTCATTGAAACGTTTTTGCAATACAATGATGTAGGCAATCAATGAAAAAAAAACTATTTCCATCAGTTCTGATGAGCTTGATGAGCTAGGCAAAAAAAGCATAATAATAGAGGTGAAATCCTGATAATTCGAACGTCAAAATGCCAGGAAAAACTTCTAATTATCCGGACACTCTAATTATCCAAACATGAACCCACAACTCAATATGTATGTCAAAATGCTCTCATCGTCACGCAGAGTTGCGCTATGGACCTTAGACACAAATTTTACGGACACATTTTTGTATTATTGTATTGTACCGTATTGTATGGAATATCATTTTACCTCATTGGCTCATCAGGTCAATGTATTCCTACAAAAAGGCCAGAAAATCCGATTATCAGGAAATAAAAGGAAAAGAAGGAGCAAACCAAAAGTGGATGAAGTGAGAGAAAATTACATTTCGCAATAAAATCTTCAATTAAGGGGGCACATCAACCAAAAATTTCATATGGCATTCAATTGACTGTAACTTTGGTGTTTCTCAGTGGATTTGAGTGAAATTTTGACCACACACTCCTGCCACTATGCTGGCCCTCAGGACATGATTTACAAGTTCTTGCGCCTCACTGACAGGCTTTCCAGGCCGGAAAAACTCAAATTTCCGGCATAGTGCCACGGTGTGCGAGCCACCCAGGAGCCAAACAAATGCATTTACATTTTTTTAACATTTTCGTGCCCATTCTGTCCGTGCGCGGGACCCAAACCTAAAACAAGTCCAGAAGCAGCCATGGGTGTCGGGGTAGGGCCCCTCTACGTGGCCCTGGAATCTGTCACAACGGAACGAGTGGGCGTTCTCTCGCGGACTCCCACAGGCCCAAGTCAATTTTTGAATTTCTTTAGGTTTAGCACGTGCTCCGAGGTCGTACCTTTGATAGAACATCCAGTGCTGGGACCTCCACAGCAAGCCATTTCCACCGCGCTGCACACCAAATCCGGGATGCCCTCAGAAACCGGCAAAGACTGCCACTCACGTTTCACTACTGCCTAGTACTGAATCCTACCTGACTTCTTGACACGACTCAAACTTGCCAAAGTCACTAAATCAACGTCAACTACAATAATCAAGCCACATATCTGCAACGTCACGAGGGTGCTGGCTAAAAGTCCTGCTGCACGGCGGCGGGCTTCGCCCGCCGCCGTGCAGCCCAATACGTGGTTTTTAACGTGATTTTTGGACTTTTTTGGACTTGGGGCAAAATTCTGCACACTTTCGCGTGTTTCCATAATACGACAAGTTGCGCACGGTCTGCTCACATTCAAAAGACCATAGGTCTGTGGGAAACACCCTAGTAAAATAAATAAAATAATAATAATAATAATAATAATAAATACAGTGCTGCCAACAAATGACAGCATGCAACAAAAAAATCTTTCCTTGCAAGGGCACATTTTCGGCCATAACTCTTGAACGGCTGGTCAGATAGGGACACAGTTTTCAGAGAATTTGCAGCTATTCATGCTCTTGTAACTGACGTAGCACTCAATATGAATTTACAAATTCGATTTTTCAGCGAATTTTTGGGTGATGTGCCCCCTTAATTTTGCCTTCCTCATATTCAAACTCATTGAAACGCTTTTGCAATACAATGATGTAGGCAACCAATGAAAAAAACATTACCATCAGTTCTGATGAGCTTGATGACCTAGGCACAAAAAAGCATAATATTAATAGAGGTGAAATCCTGATAATTCGAACCTCAAAATGCCAGAAAAAACTTCTAATTATCCGGACACTCTAATTATCCAAACATGAACCCACAACTCAATATGTATGTCAAACTGCTCTAATCGTCACGCATAGTTGCGCTATGGACCTTAGACACAAATTTTACGGACACTTGACTGACCGGCACAGCCTGCTCATGAAAACTGAACTGACCAGTACAGTGTACAGTGAACTTCGAATTACACTTTGCTAACTTCGGGCTTTCAAATACAAGATCATAACGCGAAGCAACTTGGAAGAATTAGTATGTATGCGAAGTGAATCGGGGGATGCATGCAGGGCGATAGTGCGGGTTCGAATCCCAGGTTATGTCTAAAAACAAAAAGTAGAAATTTATAAGAATTTATAACATCCCTTTGCTTTTTTTGTCTAAGTCATCAAGGCAAAAAAGCATAGCGTAGGGCCCTGAGCTTCCAAGCTCTCTCGTCACCTGCAGCCTTGCATTTGTTGACATCAGTCTGCAGCTTCTCACTCTGTTTTTGCAGTTGCAATATCTGTCTCTCTACGACTCTAGCTTCGTCATGCGGTTTTCGAGAGGAGCTAGGAGATCTGCAAGTGCAATTCTCATAACCCCCCGAAATTCCTCTCTGAACGAGTCGAGAAGCTGCAGCACACGCGACACAGGCAATGAGCTGTCGTCAATGCTATCACTTACGTTACGCGCTGTTTCATGATGTGCAAACTTTCAGAGAAATCGACGGGGGAGAACGTGGTGATTCGATTTTGACAGCATGTTACCAGGCGAGGACGCATAGTGCTCCTGGCTACAACCATAACCCGGTTGGCAGAGTCCCAATCGGATCGGAGATTATTTTTTCGATCTCCACAAAAATAATTAACCCAACACACACGGTTTAGGCGATAGAGTCTACGGACTCGTACTCGTGACCTGGGCACCGCAAACCCAGCTCAACGGAGACCGCATACTCACCTCACCGCGCACCATATCCAAAACCAGCGGTATGGACAACGCCCTGGTCAAATACTGACCCCAACGGCGGGGATGCAACGCACAATCGCGAAAGAAGCAAGTCCGCAAGTACGACTCGCATTTGTCGAAACGACGAGGACGACAAACACTCCGGAGTACCACGCGCGCCATCATCACCGCACGCAGATCTACGCGCGATCCCGGAGCCTGTGAGGCCGAAGCCGAGGGCTAGGGTCAAGCCAAGGTCACATCATAGCCGTTTCCATGGATTTTTCAAATTTTGAAAACGCAGCTTCGGCAGTGTCGGTGAAAGGAGTCGGTTGCCTTCGCGCAAGACTGCCGTTATAAACGGTTGGATATTGAGAAGATGCCAGCAGAAACAGAATACAATGTAATGCTTTGGTCGTTTGGAGGTGAAAAGGTGTTTCGGAAGGAAGTGAAGACATTGTTTTGGTCGGACGAGTGCTGTTTTCTAAACGTTTGGCAATCGAGTGTAAGCGTACCAGTTTCAAGTGCGGGCCAAAGTTATTCAGTCAAGTTGATTTCATTAACTCTACTCTTCTCCCAGTTGTTCGTATACCGGCGTCTGTAACCGACGAGTTGCCATCGTTGTTCAGGTGAGTTCTTGTTATTCTGAATATACCTCGATTACATTCGACGGAGCGCAACGTGACAGAATCTGGGTAGCAGCGGGAGCCAATGGGAGGCTTACGAAATCGATCGCTGATGTCCAATGGAACGAATCCCCTCTTACGACACAACTACCGTACTCGCGCGATAAGAGCCCTCTTTCGAATAGTGCCTTACTCTCCAAGAGCCAGAGAAAAATCAAGCCCTTTCTTGAATAGTGCCCCCCCCCCCCACCGGTCTTGTAACCAAGCCCATGTTCAAGTTTGGTGTTCTTTTGCTAATGTTCTTGGCCATTGCTTTGCACTGGTGTTTTCAGGAACAAAATCGCAGGCATTGTTCCCGTTTCTGTGGAGTCGTGAGCGTTTACAGTACACTTTAGCTTTTGTTTTTCTTCGTTTTAAGCTGGATGACGCAAATATACCAGCAATGAAAAAATAGTGCCCTGGCTTGAATACTGCCCCATCTGTGATGGACATCGAAAAAATAGTGCTCCAGGAGCACTAATCGTGCGAGTACGGTAATAGGAATGCTAGAACGTTTTTCGGGCTGGTATCAAAACATTCTTGCCATTGATTAGGTTATGCCTGCACGAAGTCTAGCACCCTATGGTATGTTGGGCGTACAATTGTGTGCAAAGCTGTCCATGAGAGTGTTGTAGTCTAGTTCCCACCTGTCACGGTTATCCTCGCTTGTAGGCGCGACCAGCGTGTATCCGCGTGCCGCGAGGATGTTGTTGCCCCATGGATTCCTGGTAGGCTGCTGGGCGAGAAGCGGCAAACGCAGACCAGTGACTGCATCCGCCACACATCTATGAAACAGCAAATTCCCATTTCGCTCAAAGGTTTGCTCCATTCATCCTCGGAGGGGCCTCACAGCAACACGGCAACAGTTCGTTCCATATGGGATGTCATTGAAATTCAAAAATCGAGGAAACGTACCAGACGAAAGAGTCACAGGGACTCAGGTGCGAAGCTCCACCAGACTTACATGGAATGCGAAGCAATTTCAAATGCGCCTTGTGGTCAAGAAAGTTTTTTTTTTGATTCCAAGTAGTTGATAGACATGCAGGAGGCGTACATGGCCACATCCATATGGACATGAGAGTAGATGTGTGCACGAAATTGATGAAAATGAACTGGGCACTGTGAATGCCATGTTTTTCAGGCACGCATACACACTCATGACCCTTGCCGTGTATACCACACTGGCTGTTATTCACGTAGCTATGCAAAAGACGTCACTTCAGTAACGTCTGGTGCTAGCCAGGGTCCACACAGCATTAATTCCGTGTTTGTATGTTTGTTTGTGCCATCGGCATGCCTGCCGCTATCCGGTACCGTTCCATTAAAGACGGGTGGCCACAATATTCAAATATTCAAATAGGGCTTTCAAATGCAAGATCTTAATGAGAACTTGGAAGAATGAGTATGCATGCGAATTGTATCGGGGGAATGCATGCAGGGCTATAGTGCGAGTTCAAATCCTGGGTTATGTCTTTAAAAATTAGGAGAAATGAAAATGTATAACATCCCTATGGATTGGATTGGATTGGATTTTATTTATAGTGGTGACTATAACAGACAATTGCCTAATAACAATGGACCCACTCGAGAGAAAGATGCAAAAGATCTGAATTATTAATATAATAGACTATTGGATAGGTGATCATGTTCGCGATAGAACGAATGGTTGAATCAACAGACCATGCACGCCCAACTTTGCTTTTTTGCCTAGGCCATCAAGATGGTAGACAGTGTTGTATTACCCTCGAATGCAAAGAGAAAGTTAATTTCTTTCGATCAGGGTCCTACGCTATGCTTTATTGCCTAGCTCCTCATGAAATTAAGATAATATATTAATAATTATAAACTCAGATACTGACAGAGATTGCAACAACTAGGCACACAACTGACAGAGTACTGAGAAATTCGACGTCCTGACACCTAGCTTCTACACATCTCCATTGTGGAGAGTTACTCTTTTAAACTCGTTTTCATATGTCCTTTTCCTTTCTACTTTTATTATTGGCTCAATACCCGAGTTTCAGATACTGAGCCAGTAATTAAATGTAAAAAAGAAAAGAAACACTTGAGAACGAGTTATGCAGCAACTACCCACGACATTTTTGCTCGCTGCGCTCACCTTCCCCTCTTCGGTCCTACGTAACCATGAACCTTCCAAGTTGGACGGCTGTTGGTTTGCGCACTGGGGATGTGTTAGAGCTAGGCGTCGGGTCGCTGAATGTCTCAGTAGCCTGTCAGTTTTGTGCCCTATTATCGCACTTTCTGACAATTTATCATCTTGTTACAGTCGTGGATAGTTGCTGCACAACTCGTTCTCATGTGTTTCTTCTTTTTTTTACATTTAATAATAATAAATAATTCATTGTCTTTTGAACAGATTGAAACTTTTTGCAATACAATGATGTAGCCGATCAGTTCGTTGTGGTATGGTTGGGAATCGTAGCCATTATTTTTTCTGGTTTTGGAGTTCGTATCGGAGCAGCCATTCTGCAATTCAAATCGAGCCGCCATGGTCGACGTAAAACACTATTTACATCCACAAGCTTGAGGAGCAAAAGTCTCTCTGTTCCATAAGCTGCTACATACCAACTAGATATGGGGTCATGCACATCACACGAGCTGACTTGCACGCGTGGCCCTTTTCACGAACCCAGACAAAGAGATTGGTCTATTATAACTCATGTACGAAGTCACTAGATTACACCCGCACCAAAGATGAAGGCGATAGCGCCAGACATCAATACGGTGTTGTACGGTATAAGGATGTTGTATAGCATATCGTACAACAGTACGATGAAATTGTGGGCGATACCAGCGACCGCTTGAGAACGATGAACATTACAACAGTCTTACTGTGAGTGAGAGTCAGGCCAAATTTCTGAAGATCAGTAGCGAGTTCTATCCCGAGCATTATGTTAGCATTACAAAAGCGTAGACAGGTTGTGTTATAGGAGACCCAAGTTGCTGAAGACCAGTAGTCATTGCTGATAACGTGCAGAAAAACTAAATCCGTAGCCTCTTTTGCCATCGGACAGGATGCGTATTATAGGAGGCTGTAAAGTTATCTAATGTGCTTCACAGGCAACCATGCATTCGGCCGTCAGCACCAGTTAAGCACAAGCACACTATCAAGGCAAGGACATTTTTGTATTATTGTATTGTACCGTATTGTATGCAATATAATTTTACCTCATTGGCTCAACAGGTCAATGTATTACTACAAAAAGGCCAGAAAATCCGATTATAAGGAGATAAAAGGAAAAGAAGGAGCAAACCAAAAGTGGATGAAGTGAGAGAAAATTACTTTTCGCAATAAAACCCTCAATTAATTTTGCCTTCCTCATATTCAAACTCATTGAAACGTTTTTGCAATACAATGATGTACGCAATCAATGAAAAAAAAACCATTTCCATCAGTTCTGATGAGCTTGATGAGCTAGGCAAAAAAAGCATATAGAGGTGAAATCCTGATAATTCGAACCTCAAAATGCCAGGAAAAAACTTCTAATTATCCGGACACTCTAATTACCCAAACATGAACCCACAACTCAATATGTATGTCAAAATGCTCTCATCGTCACGCAGAGTTGCGCTATGGACCTTAGACACAAATTTTACGGACACATTTTTGTATTATTGTATTGTACCGTATTTTATGGAATATAATTTTACCTCGTTGGCTCAACAGGTCAATGTATTACTACAAAAAGGCCAGAAAATCCGATTATAAGGAGTTAAAAGGAAAAGAAGGAGCAAACCAAAAGTGGATGAAGTGAGAGAAAATTACATTTCGCAATAAAACCTTCAATTAATTTTGCCTTCCTCATATTCAAACTCATTGAAACGTTTTTGCAATACAATGATGTAGGCAATCAATGAAAAAAAAACCATTTCCATCAGTTCTGATGAGCTTCATGAGCTAGCCAAAAAAGCATATAGAGGTGAAATCCTGATAATTCGAACCTCAAAATGCCAGGAAAAAACTTCTAATTATCCGGACACTCTAATTACCCAAACATGAACCCACAACTCAATATGTATGTCAAAATTCTCTCATCGTCACGCAGAGTTGCGCTATGGACCTTAGACACAAATTTTACGGACACCTAACTGACCGGGACAGCTTGCTCATGCAAACTGAACTGACCAGTACAGTGTACAGTGAGCTTCGAATTACACTTTGCTAACTTCGAATGATCAGCACAAATCCCACACATTTTCTATGTAAATGGAATCTGTGGGACTTCTATTTAACCGGACATGTCCAGTTCGGGGTTCGAATTATCGGAAATTTTATGTGGGAATCGTATGGATAGGAATCGGTCCTCGAAAAACTCTAATTAAGCGGTGTGTTCGAATTAAGCCATATTCGAATTCTCAGGATTCCACCTGTATTGACCTTTGATAAATACCCACACTAATTAGTGACCGCACCATCAACAGTATCAAATTCTAAATTAATAAATTTGCTTTGACTGAATAAATACCACCGCACTTTTCTATGTAGCACTGCACTTTCCCCTAAAAAGGAGTATTTTATAAACAGTATTTATTGGATTTTGAGCCAAAAAAATATATTTAATACAATGATAAAAAAATATACGAGAGAGCTTAGAAGCTCAGGGCCCTACGCTATGCTTTTTTGCCTTGATGACCTAGACAAAAAAAAGCATAGGGATGTTATAAATTCTTTAAGAAAGTCCTTTTTTTTAAGACATAACCTGGGATTCGAACCTGCACTATCGCGCGCCCTGCATGCATCCCCCGATACACTTCGCATACATACTAATTCTTCCAAGTTGTTTCACATTGTGATCTTGCATTTGAAAGCCCTATTTAAATATGCATTGTGGCCAGCCGTCTTTGATGGCACGGTATGGTAGGGGATAAGTACGGGACAGGTACGATCGAGGGTAATACGACACCGTCTCCCGTACCGTACCGTACCATCAAACACCGGTGGC